TTTTTTTTTTTGGATTGGTGTATAGCTTTTCAGCATTTTCCCATGCATTTTTTTTCCGCATTGCTTTCTTGCTGGTTAGCATTGTTTTATTTTAGCACTCCTTGTCTGCATTGCTTTGTTCAGCATTTTGCATGCACTTTTTTGCACTTTAGTCTTTGCGTGCACTTCTCTCGGCATTGCTTGCTGGGTGCTTTTTTTTTTTTTTTTTTTTTTAATTACCTTTTTTTTTTCCATGCACTTTTCCCCCCCATTGCACTGTTAAGTCATTTACCTTTCTGAGCAGTCTGAGAATGTGGACCGCGTGCTCTCTCTTGTGTTCCCGGATGGTCGCCTGGATCTCTCGGATCCATCCCACCCTCCTCACGTAGGGCGCCGGGTGGTTTTTCCTCAGCACCCCGGACAGCTTCTCGGAGTTCAGGATCAGGGAAGCGAATTGAAAGTCCCCTCGGTTAGTCTCCACCCTCCTGTGCGGCTCCTTCCTAGCTAACCTGGGGCACGAGTCTTCTCCAGAGGCGCTCCCCTCCTCCAGGCTGCTTTGTCTGCTCAGCCTGGACCCCATGATGGATCCCCTGGCTTGTACCCCCTGCAGCGGGGAGGAGGTGGCTCTGCGCGGGGCTTACCGAGGGGAACCAAACGCGTGGGCAGCGAGAGCGTGAAACTGACCCGCGTGTCAAGGCCAGCGCCTCTGGTTCGCTTTGAACCAGGGGGGCTCTCAAGCCACCAACCTCATAGCAGCAGAAACAACATCCGAGGTGCATTCATCCCAGCTTGCAAAAATCGGGTGGGGGGGGGAGAGGGGAGCAGGCACATGATTCCCCCCCCCCATCAGCCTTTCCCCTAAATAAATAAATAAATGTTTCCCGAGCAATGCTGCTCTCCCTCCCAAGGGGGTGGGGTAGGAGGGGGCTGGTGCTGCTGGTTGACGAAGGAGGCGCTTCGCCTTTGGTTTGTGCGTCTCTGGCTTTCTGCAGCCAATAGAGGCTGGGCGTGTGTGTGTGTGTCCGAGATCCCCCTGGAAAAGCGGTCTTGCCCCCCCCCACACACACACTCCTCTCCGCCGCCCCTGGCCAAGCCTCGCCGTGTCTTGTTCGGTTTCTGCAAGGCGCGTGTGAATTTCCTACGCGAGACACAGCGACGTCTTTCCTCTGCCCAGTGCGCCCCCAACGTGCGCCCCGCTGCGATTTTGAAACGAAGGGAGAGACCCTGGCACCGTCTTGTATGGGGCGTCTGCCCAGGCTGCTAGGAGCATGTGTGTGTTTGTCTGCAAGCCCCGTGGGTGGGTAGCGCATACACCGACCGTGGGTAGTAATTAGAGGTTGCAGCAGCAGCAGCATCCATTTGGTCTGGCTTTTTATGCATTCAAGCGTGGTACAGACAGTCTTGTGAGTCTAGACCCTTTTAAGCTGCTGCTGGCACCTGGTTGCCCAGAGGGGACATCCCAAGAATGGCTGATTTGTCCTGGCTGCCTTTCACTCTAGAGTATAATTTTCCCTTTCTTCACACATCGCATAAGGCCCCCACCAGAAACTCGAGCCCAGACCTTCAGAGTGCCTTGTCAGCCTGGGGAGGGGGACACTATTTTGCAGCGTTTGGATCACTGGGTGTTTATTTTGTTGTTTTATCTTTGCAACTCAGAGAGGAATTCATTTGCCACTTACAAAAATGATGAACCCAACCTCTAGGTTAAAAACAAACACGTGAGCTGATCCCAATTTAATAACCCTTTTCTGGTTCTTTTATCTGTCTGTCTGAACCTGCATAAGATTACCAAAATCTGTCACAAGTGGGAATGTTATATAATACACGTCATGGGTGAGATCAGGTATGCCCATCCCTACAGCTGTGGGCAGTATTTTCCATCAGTTCAGCTGTTCGAACCAGTGACAGGATTTTTATAAATGCAGACTAGGGGTGAGAATTGTCCTAGTAACAATGGTTTGTAATGGATGCTAGGATTCCGGCATGTTTCCTTGACTGTTGTGGGCAGAGATTTTTTTCTTCCTTAGCCATATCATACTGTAGACGTACTGTCATACATGTCCACCCCTCGCCCTAGGCACTGTATATCAAGGGTACTAAGTTTCTTCTCAGACAAAATCCGCTTTAGCCATAGCGCATGAGGAAAGACTGCTAGAACCCCATTAGCAATAGCTGTGTGACTAGCAAAATTCTGATCCCAACACTGAGAGAGCCTCAGTCTGACCTTCCAGCATAAGAGCTATTGGAACTTCTCCTTGAGCTGTCTCCTCTGTGGCATGACTTAGGCAGGGAGTACGTGGGAGTGGATAAGAATGTGCCTGGGCTCGGATCTGCTGTGTCTGGACTCACTGCACTGATCCAATGAATGTGCATAAATATATTTACAAGGCTGGGGATTCACTTATTGCCTTATACGTGTGTGCACACGTTGTGTGAGGCTAGTCTCATGCATCTTCTTGCTCCCATTCAAGTACATAAAAGGTTGTTACAAGGAGGAGGGAGAAAAATTGGCCTCCTTAACCTCTGAAGATAGGACAAGAAGCAGTGGGCTTAAATGGCAACAAGGGTGGTTTAGGTTGGACATTAGGAAAAACTTCCTGTCGGGGTGGGTAAGCACTGGAATAAATTGTCTAGGGATGTTGTGCAATCTGTCATTGGAGATTAAGAGCAGGTTAGACAAACATCTGTCAGGGATGGTCTAGATAATATTTATTCCTGCCTTGAGTTCAGGGGACTGGACTAGATGACCACTCGAGGTCCCTTCCAGTCCTACGCTTCTTACAAAGGGGCCTCCAGAATGGAAAGCTTAGATAACCCTAGCCTTAGAAACCTCCTTCCCTACTGCTAAGAGAGTCTCCTGGGGGGAAGTGACAGACTGGCTGACCTGGAAGCTGAAGGCCTATCCACAATGCAAGAACGGTAGCACTGGCTTCCCCATCCTGGCCTAACATAGCCACCTCTATGGGCAAGAGGGGAGTTCAGTATCCAGGCCCAGTCAGACCTTGGCTTCTCTGCTGAGACACTGACCAGCTGTCTTAGAATATAATTGTTAGTCTGCAACAAACCATGGCATTTGTAGGGTAGGTTCATCCCTGGGGGAATAGAAGGGGCAATGTCTATTGGAGCAGCCGCACACAAGAGCGATCGCCCCAGGGAGATAGGGCAGTCTCACCACACATCAGTACAGGGCAGCTGCAACGCCATCTTGGGCTCCATAGAACTCCTGGTCAAGACTGCCTCAGCGGCTCTAACCAGCACGTCACTCATCTGCCCTCCCCTCCCACACCTTCTGGCCCCCTCTACTTTCTGGGCTGTTCTGGCCAGCTCCAGGCCCCTGCATGAGGGGGCTGCTGGTGTCTTGCATCACTGTGACCCCTTCCAGGTTCACTTTCCGTCACCAGAGGCCTCAGCCAGCCTGGGGTCTGGAGGCAGAAGCAAGTCAGAGCTGAAATGTGCACCGGGAAATAGATCCACTCTGTCACAATATATCTAGGGCTTTGGTTATGCTAGGCCAAATCCGAAAGCCCTTCCTCAGCTTCTACTCAACCCTTACCACACTAGGACTTTTGCCTGACTGCTGCTGCAGGAGCTCAATCTCTGAAATCAATGAAGTCCCAAGGTGCTGCTCAGTGAGTCCTAACTCAGGCAACCTCCATTTGGAGCGAGTAAATTCTGAGTAAGGATTTCAGGGTTTAGTCTGATGACTTTGAAAAAAACATTGGGTCCAAAACAAAATCGATGGTGGGTCCCCTGGGCTCTGGTTGTGTCTCCAAGGCGTGCGCATTGCCAGCAGTCAGTGGGGAGAGCAGAAAATACTGACCGTAAATGGGAAAGGTCCTAAACTGAGACCGGTGGGTCAGCCTCACCCTGCCTCTCAGAGGCTGGATGGGGCATTTCAGTTCCATGCCCTGTCCACTGTGCCTCATTAAAAGGCACCACAATGGCAGCATTTGTAACTGAGGGATCCGTCGAGTGTTTTTTGGGACTCACTTTCATGCCTTCTCTCCGGGACCCAGGGAATAGGGACCTAGTCTCCAGTTTACACATGCTCCAGGATGCAATCAGTGTGCATTGCTCCAGGGGGGCGGGAGAACGGAAGAGAATTATTTACTAAAAGGACGGTACCATTACCAGGATTCATCTTCTGTGTGTTCAACTTGAAAATATCCCACCAGAGAGCAAATCCTCTTAACAAACTGGGGCGCTGTCTGCAGGATGTATTGTCTGTGTGCTTTAAAGTAGGAAACATAACAGTAGGAATAATAGGCGCTAATTAGAAACACACAGCAAGGCTGGACCACATTTGAGAGAGGGAGTATGGGTGGCTACTGGCTCATTTTGGACTAGGAAGGGCAAACCCTGCTCCCTCGCTCCGTGTGTGTGTGTGCAAAAGGCCCGCTGGCAGTGGAGCGGGTGTGTTTCTGCACCCACAGCAGAAACAAGGAGCAGAGCCCCATTAGGGTTCCCTGCACACTGCTGTACTGGGAGGAGAGGGGGGCTGATAGGAGCAGACCAGGGGAAGGATTAAATGGATTCTTCCTGTCCCAGAGGCTGAGGAGGCTACTGCTGTCATTCGTCTAGAACATGGGTTCTCAACCCCAGGGTTCCAATCCCCAGGGGCGTCATGACCAGATCCAGGGGGTTTCCAGGATAGATGGGAGGGAGATCGCAAACCAGTGCAGGGAAGACAGTTCCCTAAGCTTTTTGCTGTGCTGGGGAGAGGAGTTTGGCCCTTATTGTTATGAATGGGACTGACTCGGTCGAGGGATCATGCTGGCTTATGTGCCAGCATGGATGGAAACGTGGGCAACTCTCAGGAATTTATTGTGAGTCTCGCAACATTTGGTTTTTATCTTAAAGTCCCAGCTCCTGGAGCTAACTGATTAGGGGAGAATCTCAGGTTTCTCCCCCAGCCTTTTTTTTTTTTTTTTTTTTTTTAAAGGGAAGGGATGTTTCTAGCCCTCAGGATTTCAGAGAAAAGCTTGTAAATGCCACCCCCCCATGAAGCCTACAGGCTCAGAAACCGGAAGGCAAAGAAAGAGAACCCAACATTTAGTATTTGTCCTAAAAACTAGGGGGTTTTCCTAATTTCATTCATTTCAGTGCCCGTCACGTGATTTTTGAACCCTTGGGGTTGGCAATACTGGAAAACCAGCCTGTATGTCCTGCACGTGCTAGCATGGGTCAATATGCATGAACGCCAGAGACCCCAGAAACCAGCACTCTGCACTGTATTGTGGGAGGTGCTATACACAAGTGACTCAAGCAGGGAGGTAGGTGTCACTCTGTCTTGGCTCTCTCTAACCAGGAGATGCCGACGGACATTCCAGGGTGGGAGTGAAGGATCCGAAGCTGTCGTCCTTGCGCTTCTCCCCTGATCTGGCAGTGGCCACTCGGCACATACCCCCATACAGATTATTTGCCCTTCTAGCAGGGATGACCTGTGTGGGATGAGGCAAGAATGGTGCAGGAACTTGTATTTGGGTGCATATTAGCGGTGCTTTTGCAGCACTACGGCCACTTTGGGGCAGCTGGGTTGAATTAGAATTTGCCCCTAAAAGTCCCCCTTAATGTGAGATAGCGGTTCTAGAACAAAGAGGAATGCTGTTGATGGGGGCCGTTGTTTTGTTCTGTTTGCACAGCACCTCCACACAGGAGTCCTGGGCCAGGACAGGGGCTCTTAGATGCTACAGATACACATAAGAAATGCTACTGGTAATAGACCCCACTTCACCAGTGCAAACACATCTCCTTATTCCCAGCCAGGGGAAGGGTTATGATTCCAGCTCAGCCAGTCCCGGCTCCTAGTGCCAGCCTCGCTCCCGTTGGCAATGTGGTCAAGTACGTAGGGGTCAGGGCTAGGACCAGGACTCTGGAATTCCAGGCTTGCCTCTGTCACTGTGTAGTCTGCGGCACGGGACATGGCACTTACCATCTCTGGGCCTTGGTTTCCCCACCAATAAAATGTGGATAATAATACTTGCTTACCCCTTAGGGTTGTGAATGTCTGCAGGGTGCTTTGAAAATGCCAAACGCTGGAATTTTGTACCATTTCATCCCAATATGTCCTGTGATACCCCAGTTCCAGGGTGACTATGGGCCCAGGCACTGTGGCTCGGGGGCTTTCCTCCTTTCACTGGATGGTTGCATAGAGTATGTGTTGTGTTATCTGTCCTCCCCTCCCTCCCCATTCAGCTGATGCTGTGAGCCTTAGCACTCCCTGCAGAGACTACAGTGCTATCTTATTGCAAACAGAAATCACTCCACTGCCCTTTCCCTTGAGAGACCCTCAGTGGTTCATAGTGTGACTGCAATTCCAATTGCCCCTTGCTTGGGGAAATCACTCTCTCACGCACATTGTGGGCGTCCTGATTTGTACGCTGGGCAAGCCAGACTCGGATGACAATGCTCTTATATGATGACCGTTACAGTTTTGACTGTTGTTGCTGGGCTGGAAACATGATTGATCAATTCCCTGTTTAAGAAGGGAAAGGGGATTACAGGATCTGGAGAGGCTGCTATGCCAGACTGCCTGGTGCTTTCAGAGCATCATCTTTTGTTTGCCAATAAACTGGCTCTCGAGGCCTGGGGTGTGGCCAGCTCCCATGGGGGTGCTCCCATGGGGGTCTGCGCTGGCAGTAGCGACAGCTCTGTGCAGGCACAGCTGTGACGTTCAGTTGGTGGAGCGTTTGCAGCAACACCCCATGCAATATTTATTAGCTCTTAAGATTTCTTCCTTCTCTCACAGCTGAGGCTCCCTTGTCAGCCCACAGTGTCCCCTTAAATATTGTGGAGCTCCCGGACTGAGGCCCGCATCTGTTCAGTGCCCGGTAGTGAGAGTGC